GAAAACGAATCGAAATTGAATAGTAATTTAAGTGAACTATAAATAATATAAAAAGGTCACAGCTTACTTTTTTCAATCCGGTTCGAAGGACCATATAATGGTTGAGCGCAATGCTCGATAATTAATTTACCAAAAAAAGAACAATTATTTTGTCTTTAATATAACCTCATACCTGTGAGAAGACGTACGGTTGGTTCATCAAAAGAAATCAATAGTTGTATATAGAATAAAAATTTAATATTTTTATTTGTAATCAAAAGTACTATTACAAGTACTATTAAATACTATTACAAGAATAAATTGCATAAGCAGCAAAAGAAACTTATAAATTAAATTAAATGAATTTAACTTTAAGTACAACAAAAAAGAAAATATCAATACTTGGCAGCAGTTGCCGAATAACATGAACAACACACAACAACGATAATAATGGAAAAACAACTTTCCCATGGACAGTGCAGTATGTACAAAGGCATTAGTTGCCGATAAAACGACACAAACAAACAATTAAAATAGATATTTACAATAACAACAACGAAAAAGGAAGGGAGTAAACTCGATAGACAACAATAACGAAAACAACTTATTTACATAGACATATATACACTATATACATTTTTGCATGAACATNTAGACAACAATAACGAAAACAACTTATTTACATAGACATATATACACTATATACATTTTTGCATGAACAATATCATTACCTTTCATTTGGTATATTTTTTTTTTATATGTGACCCTTTACTTGTCCATAGGGGGGGATTTAAAATGACAACTTTTTCACAAAATATTAATTTTTTCAACTTGATTTTTAAAAATGTTCCGGAAGGAACGTTTTTATATATACACTTTTATATATATCTTAAATTAAAGTTAATGTAATATACTTTATCATGAAAAAAAAAAAATTTCGGACTTTATTTTATCTTCACGGTGAAAATGGCTACCGAATGCTATTTTTGTGTGAAAATTTTCGATTTTGTTTTTTACATTTTTAATTTTATTATGATATAACTTATTGAAAAATGTATGGATTAATACAATTTTTTCATGAGGAGTACTATATACTTGAAACAAAATATCAAATAAAATAAGAACATCTCATAGTGGTGTGCTATTACTGACGTAATTACGTCATAATAATATAAATTAAGTCGGACCTAGACACTTCGCCGCCAGACTCTTGATTTATAAATTTATTATTAACCTCTTTTCGAAAAATTATAATTATTTTAGAGTAATCCTTCATTGAAAAGCCTTTAAAATCCAGTATAATGATAAAAAATTAATTATTTTATATAATGTCATAAATTATTTAAATTTAATTATTATATACACAAAGAAATCTTGGTGTTGTTTTAACCATAAACGGACGTATTGGTTAAACTTTTGGTTAAATATCTTGCAGTACCGCTGTATACACGTTTGAATTTAATGAAACCGTTTGTTTTATTTTGATTAGTGCCGTTTTGTGTGACATAATCGCAAAAATCATCATTAATAACCCATTTTGCTGGGTCAGTCTCCAAAATTAATGTATTAAAAATTGTATTAATTGAATTGGAAGACCCGCAACTATCTTCTGGTTCGATAACTTCAAGAGGCAAAGTATTTTTTATTTTATTGTCACTAATCTTAGCATACGTATTCTCAACAATAATATCTGAAGTTTTATCGTCACTATTTCTTGTAAAAACAATAAAAGAAACTGTTCTGTCAAAAAAGTTAGTTAACTTCGGCGTTTGATTTAAGGGAGTATTTTAGTCTAGAGGCATGAATTTCAGGTAATTTTTGTAGTGTCATAAAAAAAAGGCAATTAATAATTTTACCGACCATTTTTTTGTTAGTTATTAATTAACATTACAAGAATACAGAAAAAAATAAAAAAAGGTAAAAATTAAAAAAAAATAACAGTTGATGAAGTGGAGGGGTCTTAAAAAATTGGCACGTGACCATACCCACGATTTCAACCCTCCTAGCAATCTGAAACCAAAAAAAAAAAAAAGATTATTAATCTAGAATAATCTCGCAGTGTCTGGAACTACGGAAAAGTTGAAAAAAAAAAATTCACGAAATTGGCGACTGTCTGAAAAAAAAAACAATTTTTGTACCACTTTTTTTGACTGTTTTGAATTTTTTAAAAATAGTAAAAATTGAAATTTGTTGATGGAGATAGTTCCAAACATATGCAAGTCTATAAAGAAGACTTTTTAAAAGTTTCAGGTAAATCGGTCCAGTAGAACCTGAGAAATCGTGGGTATCGTTTTGAAAAAGACAGTTTCGAGAAAAACGCGTTTATAGTTTCGCGTAAAGTTTTTTGTAGACTAAGTTATGAAATGATATTTTAGACTTACATTTATTCAATCTGCCAAAATGACATATTCTTGAATAGTCAAACTTTGAAAATTTATAAAAAGAAAAATCGATTTTTTTAAATTTCTAGATTAGAATACCCCCTTAAAACATATTGTAGTTTATCACTTTTTATTTTGGCAATTTTTTTTATATTGGTCACCACTGAACCGTTTTCTATTTGTACTCATGTTCACAAAATAGGAAGAATATTTAACAAAAAAATAAACATAAATTAATTAATAGTGCACTCTAAAGGAGCTACTTGAACACTAGTTGATATATGACAATAACATCATCGTATGTGATTTGTTTTTCAAAACAGATTTTAAGATAGTATTGTGCTTTTTAGTTTCAAAAACGCTTCAAAAAATGCTCTAAATCATTAAAACAATCATTACTTAATCAAAAAAAAAATTTTTTCGAAATTTTCTTTTTACATATCTTTGAACTTTACTTTCAATAAAATAATAAAAAAGAAAATTTATTAATTTGTTAAAATACGAAAGACCTTTTTTATGTTGAAATAACCGTAATATAACCATATCTATACTTCAAACAGCTATAAATAACGACTGTATTAACATGTGACATTGAAATTTTATATTTTGTCTAAGCAATAAACTAGAATTGAGTTTTCATAATTATTTTAACATTATGAGTACATTTTAAAATGGGACTTATGAGCGCCTAAAATTTGATTTTAATAATTTGAAGAATTTAATTAATATTATATTAAGCTTATTATGATTGAAGAGGTCCTCTTTCATATACCAAAAATCAAGATCTTATCAAACATAAAACACGTAATTCAATCATATAAATTTTATATTTTTTACTTTAATAAACAAAAGAGCATTATTCCCATGTCCAAAAATAATTTTGATGTATTTTATGAAAACCTGTATCTACGGAAATAGTTCTAATAAAATGTTCACATAAGTCATATAAATATTTCGAAATTATTTCATATTCGGAGACACGAGAATCATTTGACATTGTTTCATTAATAAAAGATGCAGTATTTTTAAATTTAATTTTCAGATCGTTCGTAGTCTCAATTAAGTCTTTTGAATAACAGTGATTTTTTATTTGAAATTTATAACTACGTAGCATATTTCTAGTATCATATCTTGCATAAATAAAACATTTAACGTAATCATTAGCTATTTTTTCAATAGGTACTCCAGGTTTGTTTACGAACATATCTCGTACTACATTATTCATTTTAAGATCAGTAACGTACTTATAAATCAAATCTTGAGTTGAAATTACATTAGAATATGAATTATAGGGTGGCCAAATTGCTGATAGTTTCATTTTTTCTAAAATTGTCAGCATGAAATCAAACATTTTAACTGTATCATTAATTACGCCAAAAAGACTTGTTACACATTTTACATAATAATTTAAGTTTCTTTTTAATATTTTATTTTCACATAATTCTTTAAAGATAGATAATGATGAATTGTAAATTAGAAGCACTTCAAAAAATCTGCATCTCATCATTTGTGCGAAGTAATTTTTTTTAAGATGAAAATTATGATCTGTCACCGGGTCTCTAAAAATACGCGAAGCACATATTTTCAAATCGTCATATTGTATTTCTATGTGGTTAAATGAACTCCAACTACCCTCACGAAGTAATATATTAAGGAACGTTATTACAACTTCTTGATTAATATATTCGTCTGCCGGAGGTTTAAATCTGTACAAATATTAGAATAAATTAGTTAAATTAACTTATATTAGCAGATATTATTTATTTATTTATAATATGATATATTATACAGAATGATCGATTTATCATAAACCACTAAATCACACAGTTATATACAGAGTGATTCAGTTATCATGAAACACTTAATAAATCGAATAAAAAAACTAGTTTTTTTATTTGTTTCTTTTATTTTAATATTTTTCTAAATTTTTAAATCATATAGTATTTTTTTTTTTTTCATCCAATTATACCTTATAAAGGTATCAATATTATTTTTGCAAATTGCAATTCCATCTAATTAAAAAATGACTCGTATTTATATCTGGGCCAGACAAAGAGTACGGCCGGATAATGTTTAGTTATATAAATAGCAGCATCTACTCTTCACCTCTAGTCGATACTAAAAATTGTTAATAACTTCCGAAATACTAGTCAAAAAATTGTTATTATCAAGTTATTTTCTTAATTAGATTATTATCTATTAAATAAGCTAATTAATCAGAGTTGAACATAAAAAATACTTTATAAATGAAAATTTGAGAGAAACATTGGAATAAAAGAATCAAATAAAAAAATAACTAATATTATATAATTTTTTGATTTATTAGCTATTAATAAGCTTTTAGGATCATCCCTTATAACGAATAGAGATATAATTTTAATTTTTTCAAATGAAAACTCCTCCATTCTGTTATATTTCATGCGACTCCATTCAATTCTCTGTATGACTCTTCTCTAGTGATGGGCATTTTTGAATATTTTAAACTATCAAATAACTATTTGAATTGCTTTTATACAACCTAATGGTTAATTTTAATTATAAAATATTAAATATTTAAAAAACTATTCCAATATATTGAGTAAGTATCGTATATTTTTACTATTCAAAGTATTTCTGTATGTCTATCGAATAGTGGAGAACTGTCGAATATTACGATAATACAACTATTCGATATTTTCCATCACTACTCCTTCTTATATCCAAAATAATTTGTTTTAAATATGACTGTCTCGGGTTATATCTTCTTGGCTTCCTTTATGGCCTACCCACTTCTTTCTTCTCTTCACGATTGTTATCCATATTGATATTTTTCATTTATCCTCTGATACACTTCTTCATTTGTCACTCGTTTATCAATGTTTTTCTAATGATTATATTTATTGCGTTTTTGATAAGAAGTTTGTTCTTTTTGAAAAACACTTATGACTCTGCATCGAATTCTCCTTTTACTGCAGCTTTTTAATTAATACATAATTTATGTATTAATCTTTTAAATTTGATGTCTATACCTTTAAGTTATAAGGGATGATACTAATGAGTAATTATTATCTAAAAAATCAAGAATTATATGTAACTAAAATAAATTAAAAATTTTTTTTCAAATATTGTATTTATTTTCAAATAATGTCATAGTTTACTTGATATCAAATCTGGTAATTGTTTTTCATCTCGTATTTTAGTATGAGTATATTTAGTATGATCAGTTTGAACATAAAAATATCAGTTCGGTGAGATATGAGAAAAAGTGATAGCACATACAGAAAAAAATAATAATAAAATAATTGTAAAACACTTTCTCAGCTTTAAATCAAAGCTAAAAAGGAATATTAAAAATAATTGCAGGATGGATACACTTTGACTCTTTATCTTCAATACCCGACATTGTCTATTATTATCTTATTTATTCTGTGGAGATACTTTGGATGAGTCATGTTAAATAGCTCTATTAGTTTGTGTCATATATAGATTTTCAAATTGATGACGCTAACGTTGATAACGTATTCTTAGATTTCACTTCATTTTTGCTCTCTTCAATCGACTTCAATATAATAACATTTAAGGTCTCGATGTATTTTTACCGTCAATACATTTTTTATTTATATCCCATATGGGATAAAAATGAAGAATAGATAGATAGCAATTTCAAAAAATGTTATAAAAAAAATTATTACAATATTAATAAAAAAACAACCCAGCACAGGGGGGTCGCGGCATAATGGTGACGTGGCATAGTTGGATCAAGTATAATGATATCTGACAGTGATTAAAATCACTATAAAAAAAAACGCTTCGATGCAAATCTTTAGATAGTGTTTAATTTTAAAAAATTGGTGGATTATTCCAAAAGCTACATGATTTGCTAGTTCCTTATTAATATCCTGATTAAGATAAAGTATGTCGAATAAAAAAGAGATATAAATATTATTTCTCATAAAAAAATTGTATTGATTAAAAATAACCATAAATAACCAAATCAATATAATTTCTTTTTATATAGAAGCATGATGTTGTTACCTTTCATTTAGTATATTTTTTTTTATAAATTTGACCTTTTACCTGCACATATGGGGGATTTCAAATGGCAACTTTTTCACAAAAAATGAACTTTTTCAACTTGACTTTTGAAAATGTTCCGGAATGTCTGACACTTTTATATATATCTTAAATTAAAGCTAATGTAATATACTTTATCATGGAAAAAAAAATTTCGGACTTTATATTTTCACGGTGAAAAGGCTACCAAATGCTATTTTTGTGTGAAAATTCTCGATTTTATATTTTATATTTTAATCTATATTATGTTATTACTTTTTGAAATATGTATGGATCAATACAATTTTTTTATGAGAAATAATATTTATATCTCTTTTTTATTCTACATACTTTATCTTAATCAGGATATTATTAAGGAACTAGCAAATCATGTAGCTTTTGGAATAATACACCAATTTTTTAAATTAAACACTCTCTAAAGATTTGCATGGAAGCGTTTTTTTTTTTATAGTGATTTTAATCACTGTCAGACATCATTATACTTGATCCAACTATGCCATGTCACCACTGTGCCATGGACCCTTTTGTTTTTGTTTATCGAACAAAAAATTTTTTTCATAAAAAAATATTTAATAATAATAACATATGGGCTGATAAGAAGAACAAGGAACAAACCCACCTTTTAAAATGCTTATTTCAATATTATTAAATTAATTCAGTTAACTGCAAAATATTTTATCTGGATAATGCATTATCAAATATTTGTTAAACTATTATAACTGAAATTCATATTGAAAAGATATTATTTTTTGTTTTTATTAATAATTTTGTTTTTAAATTATAGGTCTTTATAGAAACAGTAAAATAAAAGAAAAATATTATATTTTTTGGAGTAAAATAAAATAATAAGTTTCATCATACTTATTAGGAAATGTTTTTCATACAAAATTAATATGTAAAGTACTACTTTAAAAGATTAATTTTCCAGGCTATTACATTAACAAACATGTTAACAATATATTCAATATTTATATTATTAGCAACATTTTTATCATTACTCAAAATCACAATGCAGTATATAATCATTCCTTACAATAATCTTAGAATAGAATTTAAAACGGTATATTCTGTTTTCATTATTTGTATGTTGTGTTACTATTTAATGCCACGTGATCAGATTATACATACAACCAAATTCGATCGGAAAAGTCAAAAATCTTTGAATTATATATAATTTATACACATATTGAAAAATATATTTAATAATATTATTTTTATTTTATAATTATAAAATAGAAAATACTCTTAAATATAGGACTCATAAAGTAAGTTATACTTACTTATCAATTGTTGGATTTATCAACTGAATAAACCCAAGATCCTCGTAATTGTTCTTTATTGTTTCAGTGTAAAACGAATTGACCTTTTGATACATGAATGAAATAAAATCCGGTGAATCTATCATATGGGATGAATATTCTATTTCACATGTAGTTTTAAAATCTGTATTCTCATAAATATTTTGAATAAATTTATATTTCTCAAAAAAATTATTTGCAATTTTAGATACATTAACAATGAAATCACTAACATCAAGAAAGACTTGAAGATAATCATAAGAATTATCGTCTTGTACGTTTTTAAAAAAATTGTGGTTTTTTATGTCATATATGTCGTCGTCTGTTGTGAACAGATAATTTTGTAATACATCAACTTTTAGATTTTTCAAGTTTAGGTCTATATATCTTATGAATGTAATAGCATTATATAAATTCTCAAACATTGTCAATGAATCTTTTACTGATTTTTCGAGTACTTTAGTACAATTAGAAAAATTTTCTAATAATTCGGCGTCCAAAAAGTGTTTACATACATCAACAATAATATTTAACAATTTAACGAATACTAAAAGTACTTCATTATAACTGTAGTTTAAAATATGAACAATAATATAGAAGGTAAAAAGCAAATTATCTCTGTTCAATTGTCGTCCTATTAAATCTGGAACATTTATATTTCCCATCGGATCAATGTTTAAGTATAAGTTTTCCATAGTTTGCCATCCATTTTGAGTACACATATGATCTACTACTTCATTTAAATAATTTAAATATTTTTTTTGTTTTATTTTATAGATTTTATTATCTACAGAGATAATATTGTATTGAATCAAAGATAATGTTAAAATAATAAGTTCAAGATTCATTTTAATAAATGTAAAAAAAAAAACCACAGTTCAATAAAAGAAGTTAGAATAATCAATTTTTTTAATATTCATCGTAATATTCACAAACAAAATTACAGTGTAAAGACATGTGCAAACAAAATACTGATTTATTAAGTTTAAAGTTCGTAAAAAATGTTCGTTTATTTTTATGTTCATTACATGACATCGTCAAATGTCTATATTTGTTATTAGGTAAAGGATAGATTGAACGAAGTGTAGTTTAATTGTTTACTGGTTATTTATTTTTAGTTATTAAATTATAATAAAAACCCAGCACATTGGTGACGTGGCATAGTTGGGTCCAGTATATATTTAATGTGACAGTGATTAAAATCACTATCAATAGAAACGCTTCGATTCAAATCTATATATAGTGTTTAATTCTAAGAAATTGGTGAAAAATTACAAAAGCAAAATGAACTCCTATTTTCTTATTTATAACATGATTAGTAATTCTTATATTCAATAATATAATATATAATTATATTATAATCAATTTTTTAATTATATATTATATCATTTTTATAATTAATTGTTTTCAAATTATTATTGATTATTATTTTTAATATGTTAAAAGTAATTACTTTTAATCTACTTTTTTTTCTCTTTATAGTTTGTAATAAAAAAAAAGTGAATTAATTACCATGACTTTTAGCTCAACTTGCAAGTTTCAAATTGACATAATTAAATAAAAAAAAATGGTATTGTTAAGATTAATATGCACTCAGGAATTTTTATAATTACTATTTACAGTAAATTTATTAGTAAAGCTCGATTTTTTTGCATTTTTATCATAATAGATCAATTAAATAGAAATAGTAATAATTTCTAATTAACTTTTGGTGTTTAAAAAGATTCTACAATTCAAATATGCAGAACTGAACATAATTTTATTTTCAAGTTTTTAATTAACTGTAAAAAAAAATGGTATTGATAATTGAAATATTGGAAAGTCGCAATCAAATTAAAAAGGATGCATACATCATAGAAAAAAACAAACTATAAATTGTTACTATTGATACATATCTATGAAAATTCAAAATACATACGTGATCTCATTAAAATATAATATCATTAGCTTTTCTTTTAATATAGCATACTAAATAAAAATAATAATATTGTTATTAGAATGTTTTCCCGTCATCTATGACACAGGCAATAGCTTTTAGATGGGATGTTAAAATGATTAATAATAAAAATTTACAATAATGTTAATGTTATGAAATAATTATAGAAAGTTTCATTTAAAACTGCTGAATACCACAAACAAAAATTCATCTTGGAAGGATTATTCATAATAAAAATTTTCACTACCAACCCCAAACGAAGAAATATTCACCATGTAATTATTTTTGACAGAGGGGATATGATACCCCTACTCTTGAAATTATGCCAGTGGAAATAAGTACAATATTTACATTGTAGATTTTAATTGAGATGCCACAGAAATCATTACCATAAACATTCAATAATAATGTAATGTGTTATATCACATCCTTTTTCAATAAAATATTATAATGATTCTTAAAAAACCCAGCGCAGTTGGGTCACGGCACAGTGGAGACATGGCATAGTTGGGTCAAATATAATGTTATCTGTGAGTGATTAATATCACTATCATAAAAAACGTTTTGATGCAAATCTGTAAATAGTGTTTAATTTTAAAAAATTGGTGAATTATTCCAAAAGCTACATGATTTGCTAGTTCCTTATTAATATCCTAATTAAGATAAAGTATGTTGAATAAAAAGGGGATATAAATATTATTTCTCAAAGATAAAAATGTAAAATACAGAATCGAGAATTTTCACACAAAAATAGCATTTGGTAGCCATTATCACCGTGAACACAAAATAAAGTCCGAAATTTTTTTTTCCATAATAAAGTACATTACATTAGCTTTAATTTAAGATATATATAAAAGTGTCAGACTTTCCGGAACACTTTTAATAGTTAAGTTGAAAACAATTTTGAATCCCCTCTGTAGAGTGGTAAAGGGTCAGATTTATAAAAATATATACCAAATGATAGGTAAAGACTTCGTGCATCTATAAAAAAAAAAAATTATATTGATTTGTTCATTTTTGAAAAAGTTATGACAGTTTTAAGTAAAAAAAATTTCGAAAATTAACGATTTTTAAATATGTAATTTTTTTGGAGATATCCCTCATTTACGGGGAACGAGGGAAATTTTTTCAATTTTGAAGGGTAATGTCTTCGACTAGATACGATTTGTGATCTTTTGACGTATCATTGAAAGAAATCGGTCTGGTGAGAGCTGAGAAAAAGTGGTAACAGACACAAAAAAATACACATCATAGTATAACCAATACCTTCTCAGCTTTGTATCGAAGCTAAAACTGAAAAACACGCTTTTAAAGCATATCGAACCAAAAAGTTAAAAATAATTTTAAAAATAAGCTTAAAATAGTAATGAAGAAAAAATACTAGTATTATTGTGAAAAAAAGTGTGGGGGCTTTGTGCCATAATTTTCGTATATTGAGCGGCCGAGAAATTAAAATTTTTTTTTTATTTCATTTGCCTGTCTCTCTCTAAAAAATAATCTTTTCCATCAAATAGTTGATCGGTTGATTATTAACTTTGATACGTTATTACCTAATGCATCAGCAGTAAAAATAATTAAATGCACAGCATCGCGGTCAGATATCTAGCATCGAATTAATGCAGCATGTAACTTAGGAGTCATAAAAGCTATGACTACTATAGCTATAGAACCTCGTATTTTTGAAGAATATAATGAACCAGACAAACCATCTTCTGTTTCACATTCCGTGTAACTAGAAAATTTTAACTCAACAACATTATCTAAACAAAAAAATGACCAATTTAAACAATTGTGCTTACTTTTAAAGAAAATATAGTGATCCCACTGAACCAGTGGATTCCATTTCTGATTTCTGAACTAGTTAACACACAACCAGGTCTACCATCTGTATTGGTAACAACAAAAACGTTTTATCTTCCTTAATTTTCATCATATATAATGCATTAGAATGAGAAATATCAAATAAATCGTTCAACTGTTTCGTATATTGACTGACTTTATTTAGATGTTTATTAGTAAGTCTTTTTGACGATTTTTGAAGTTCTTATACATTTGAGTACAATTTTACAAGTAAATACATACAGCGATGTTTTCCTAGTTGGAATTCTAGCCTTATGCCAGTATAATGACACTTCAGCAATAACTAAGTTAGCACTTTTAATCAAATTTAATTTGATATGTCTTAAGTTGTAAAATAAAAGCTTGATTTATGCAGCATGAAGCCATTATAACAATTTATTTGAATGAAATAAAAAATGTTTAGAATGTCAGAGAACACGTATAAACATTTTTTTGAAAATTTTGACTTTTAGTAGATAATTATTTTACTTATGAGTAATTTCATAGTCACTGAATTGGGGTACGACGACCAAAGGATTTCGGTCGTACCGAATTCCGAGGAGAAGTATATTTCAGTCACGAAATACGTAACCAATTACTTTTCCATACGGTTCGTCGACACCTTCCGGTTCATGGCCTCCTCCCTGTCCACCTTGGCCGGTAACCTAATGACGCCTGATTTCGTTAAATTTCGGGAAACGGCCAAGGTGTTCCGTCCGGAAGACATGTTGTTGGTGACGCGTAAGGGCGTATACCCCTACGAGTACACTGATAGTTGGATTAAATTGGACGAAACGGAACTACCGCCTCAAGACGCTTTCTATAGTCAGTTAAGTGAGTCGAATANAGAACTACCGCCTCAAGACGCATTCTATAGTCAGTTAAGTGAGTCGAATATCGATGATGATGACTATAGACATGCCACGGAGGTGTGGAACCGTTTCGGCTGCTCAACCCTCGGTGAGTACAGCGACCTATACCTTAAGATCGACGTGTTGTTGTTAGCTGATGTGTTTGAGAACTTCCGCGACATCTGTCTTTCAACATACAATTTGGACCCGGCGCATTATTACACCGCGCCTGGTTTTAGTTTCGATTGTATGTTGAAATACACCAGAATGAAGCTGGAGCTCTTGAACGACTATGACATGCTACTGATGGTGGAACAGGGCATTCGTGGTGGGTTAGTGCAGGCTGTCAAGCACTATGCAAAGGCCAACAATCCTAAGACACCCGATTACGATCCGTCAAAACCAGACTCATGGATCGTGTATCAAGACTGTAAGTAATCTATACGTATATATAAACGCGCAATAATTGAGCGGTGGTTTAAAAACGTTTAATGTATACAGGCAATAACCTTTACGGGTGGGCTATGAGTCAGCCCATGCCGTACGGTGGCTTCCGGTGGTATAAAGGAACAGACCCTCTGGCTGACCTCCAATCGTTGTCGGACACTGGTAATACGGGGCGTATATATGAAGTGGACGTATCGTATCCACAAGAGCTGCATGACGAGCACAACGACTTGCCGTTCTTGCCTGTCAACGATGTACCGCCGGGTTCCAAAGAGACCAAACTCATGGCCACTTTGAAACCCAAACAGCGGTACGTCGTACATTACGTTAATCTTAAACAGGCGATCGCACACGGACTGCAAGTCGATAAAGTATGTATAATTAACCTATAAACTATAAGCGATGATACTAATATAAATATTTGTACTGCAGGTGCACCGCGTTTTAGAGTTTCAACAAAGTGCTTGGTTGAAACCATACATTGAGTTGAACACTGAAATGCGGAAAAAGGCGGCAAATGCTTTTGAAATTGCATTTTTCAAACTAATGAATAATGCCGTCTTTGGTAAGTGCATGCTCAATGCTAAAGTGGGTTATTCGATAATTTTTTACATTTTATAGGGAAAACAATGGAGAACATGCGGAAACGCATCCGTATTGAGCTAATCTCCAGTCCCGAACGTCTAAGCAAGCTCGTAAACCAACCAACCTTCAACGACTGTATCAAATACGGTGAAAGGTTGTGCGCCGTCATAATGGACACAAAGATGGTCAAGTTTATCAAACCAATATACGTCGGTTTAGCAGTGCTTGACATTAGCAAGACGCTAATGTACAAGTACTTCTACGACGTATTGAAACCACATTATGGCAACGCAATCGAATTGGTTTACATGGATACTGGTGAGTACAACCGTACAAAATAGAAATATTTTAGAATTTAGAAATTATTTAGTAGAAATGTTTTTTATAATATTTATATATTTTTCATTTTTCTCAGACTCCTTCATATACCTGCTCAGAGTCGGCGACTTCTACCAGGATTTAGCTGATAGCCCCGATTTACTGGTGCACGTGGACGCATCTAGCCTGCCCAAGGATCACCCTTGCTTCTCCACCGATAGAAAGAAGATGCCCGGTCTGTTTTCAGACGAGACCGGTGGCCTCACTCTCTTTGAGATCGCTGCACTTCGGTCAAAGTGCTACGCATATGACATGGAAGGCAGCGAACTCATCAAGTCTAAGGGGATCCGCGGGCATGTCGTCCGGAACCATCTGTCTTTGGACGACTACAAACAGTGTTTGTTCGAAGACGATGGCGATGGCGATGATGTGTCAAAACGAGCATTGGCTGGAGAGAATGCCCGTGTGGTCATCGGAGCTGTACGCGATGGTGAGACTCTACCGACATTATCGCTGCCATACACTCCGTACCGACAGAACGTGTCAATCCGTTCGTTCGAGCACGAAGTACGCACTTTACGTACAACCAAGTTGGCGCTTAACCGTTTCGACGATAAGCGCTATACGCTCGAAAACAGAATCGACACGTTGGCTCACGGGCATTATGCTATACCACCACCACCACCACCACCACAGGGAGGTTAATACAAATATAGTAGTATTTAAGTGATTCTCGTTGGAAAAAAAAATATTGTTAAAATTAAATATTGAAATCATAATTTGTAAAAAATATGTGTACTAGTATAAATAGTTTTAAGATTTTTTTTTTTTGTTAAATAATTGTAAATAAATGTTAGTAATACACATGTAATCGTATATAGTTTTAAAATGTAACATAATATAAAAAAAATTGTAAATATACTTATATTTTTAATTATTAAATAAAAAAAAAACCTCGTGTTGTATTTGTAATTGTTTATTTATTTAACTAAATGTTTTATACAATAATGAAATATATGTTTTATTATAATAAATATTAAAAAAAAAAAAATTATAGGCATTTTATATAATATCGATTGAATCTATCCATTTATTATGTGAATTATCCAAACCAACAAAATTGACAAAACAATTGTCTTTATTCTTCTTAATGATCTTTTCCACTAAATAAACTTTTGGAAACTGAGTCTTGCTAAGTTCGTGCTCATAGAAACAACCATTTATAGGTCTGTTGTTTTCATCTGTCAGTTCGTACACGACAGGTTTTGTATCACAAATTTTTGCGATTGTAAAGACTTCCGATGTCCAATTCTGTGTGTATCCTTTTGAAAATACTGCTTTATGTTTACTCAGACGAACTTTATCTCCAATATTAAACGTTTTATTATATTTTAAAATAGGTAGCCGTTTAAAACTGACATTTCCAGGATTACGTGATGCTATACTAGGAGTTGTTCCTATGGCGCTATGTTTTGTATTATTGTAATTTGTTATTAAATCTGCTATAATGTTTATCCAACTATATGATCTATTGGTAGTAAATTTTTTCCANATATATGATCTATTGGTAGTAAATTTTTTCCACATTTTTTCTTTTAATGTTCTATTAAATCGTTCCACAACAGCCGCTTTCATTGTAGAGTAGGTTGAATAATGATTTATATTTTTGTTCTTCATGAG